TCATGAGCCATTTCATCATTATATAAATTGGTAATTAATTTAATTGTCAGTCTTTTCAAATAGAAAAACATGTTTTATTTTAAGAAACTGTAAACGTATGTACATTTGAATAGTTTTTAAAAGAGCTCATATGCTGGAATTCAAAATCATGATGTTTTTGTTTGGTGCAGTTTAAAGGAATGAGTTCAAATCTGAACTGATTTTGTCCCTTCTGATTTATGTTGCTTTCTGGAATGTTTAGACGCCAAACTCTATTGTCCTTAGTGTGATTCAGAGCCACAAGCTACTCAACGGCCAAATATGGTCCTATTTTTCTTTATTGAGCTGCGAGGGAGGACCTCCCATCGCTCAGATACGAACATGTTCTGTGTCCTCTTCACACGGGAGTTGTAAATACAGGCGCTGCATGACACTATCTGAAAAAGATCTCAGCTCCAAATATAACAAAAGCCCTCAGTCGGAGCTAGTTCTTGTGTTTCTCAGAAAATTCAGTGCATTTCTAGAGGCTAAAAAGTCTCAATTAGTGACCCAGAGCCAAACACAGCTCGACATGTCAGGACCTTAAAATCTTGGTTTCCTTTTTGTGGGACTGATCATTTCATCATGACTACAATTACTTTTGAATCATGCATACTTAGACCCTTGTGCATCAAACCACAATGTGATTATAGTTCAGGACAAATTGAATGTGTTGTTACAACTGATTCATATGATATAATCCTCCTTACTTTGGAGAAATACTTTAAAAGCAACAACTTTCATTTTTAAAAATACCCAACTAATTATTCCTTTTTTTTTTTTTGCAACACCACATAAACACATAAAATATGATTTAATTTTTGTATCTGAGCAACAAATATAAAAATGTAACTTTATTCCAGGCAATGTAGCTTGGCATAACAGCTATAAAAGTTTTAAAGTACCTTTTTGGTTTTATGAGAAGTGAAGTTGGGGGCTATTTCGTTGCCAGCGACGACCATTTCTTCAGTATTTTTGTAGCAATTAAGATGTTAGGCAACTTTAGACCTCACAGGGTTACACCTGGCAAATTCATAAGCAATAAATCTAACTAAAAACCCCAACTTGTCATTTTAACAAGGCTATTTGAAAGTGATTGAACAAGAAACACTGTGCTAATGAGTGAGCTCTGCTGTCTGTCAGGCCGGGTACCTTTATGTGGAGCCAATTTATGTTTCTAGTTTTTATTATGAGCTAAAAGGCTTTAAACTTATATACCTCTTGGGAAAATGTGACTAAGCCTATTTCCTAAATGTCAAAACATGTCTATTGTTTTCCTGATCGTTACCCTGTGATGTTTTTGATAAGTTCCTCATAAAAGTTGTGCTAAACGTTCTGTTTTTTTGTGTTTTCCCCAGCAGACCTTGGTTCAATCAAGTCACACATTGTCAGAAACCTGCAGCCATCTTTGCTCACCATTATTTTGCTCCCCCATCCTTCGAGCAGTGCGTGTTTATGAGTTTATGCTCTCAATTACATCAGGCCTTCCTGAAACAGATGGTTCCCTGCTTGCAGCTCTTCATAAACTTCATGGGTTGACCTACGGGCACTTCGACACGCCTCTTCTTCACTGTCTGCACTACCTACTGACCCTCTTCTTATCCCACTGCCTTCGTCTGTTTACACCACCTCCAGCGTGATGGCTTGTTGCGCCTGGGACTTGTCTGGATGTGCAATCAGAGCGTCACACTTCATAACTCAGACTCGTGGATTTAACAGCCAGTAGAGTGAAAGATACGGAGAGACTGGGGGAGGAACAGGCGAACTGCAGGAACGCAGTGCAGGAGAGGGCTCATTGGTTCCAGCAGCAGAGGAATCCACCTGTCTCACAAAGGCAGGGGGATCACCCCCTACCTGATACATCTGGTTGCAGGGGGGGACCTTGCACAGCCTGGAAGGCAACAGGGACTATGCGGCTGGGATTGGTGGTGCTGGCAATGATCTTTCTCAGCTCCATGGGTCACAGTGACGTTCTCAAGCTCTCCAAGGCGAGAAGGCAGAGACGGGGTGAGCTCTCACTTTTTCATTGTTTCTTGTTTGTTTCCCACTTTTTTCATTGCGAATGTCCTGCTTTTCACTTCTGGAGTCTCACTTACTGTGGTGGACATCCTATAAACATTGAACAAGTGAAGTAAAGATAACATTTAGTTTATTTTCCCATCATTCTTATTTGTTTTTCATTGCGGGTTATGTTGGGTTCAGAGTTTCCTCGGAAAGGCTCATCTTTCTTGCTCTTTTAGGATTATGCCTCCCTCAGTTTATGTAAAACTTTCATGGGCATTAGAGTTGTTTATAGAGTTTTTTTTTTATGGATTCCCTCTCAAAGCCATTGTTCATTTCATGTCTGGCTGTGTGGGCACATAATAGAGCGAGTACCTGACAGTTCTAAGCTCTCACTTGGATCATGCTGCCAATATTGTTGTAAGCATTTTTTTTTTCTGACCTCACGCAAGTACAAAGATGGTGCTCAAATCAACTCGCAGTATATCTCTGGCCTCAAAGTGGTGTTTCTGTCAGCTTTGAAATAATTCTTCCTTTACACACAAGGAGCTTTCAGTCAATGCCAAGCTCGCCCCAACTTCTTGGAGCCAAAATACATCAAACACCACGTCTGGCCACAGTAACAGATGTGCTGCTAATATAATCATGCATACTAGGAGGGGGAAGCCATAAAAACTTAATATTTTTAAGGGGTACAGTACACACATACCCACACAAACATGCTGTCAGAGTTGATCTTGAGGCGCTGCGATGAAGACAAAAGTCTTGGGGTGAATACCAATACACACTAGACTCTTTCAGAATCTGTTGAAGCTTTTCCCCCTTTAGACATAGAAGATGTTTGTAATTTACACATCTGATTTACAGCTTTTAAATCTTTGGTGTGATCAGATTCAGTTTTTCTCAACTGTACCCCCTGGTAGGAAAACAGCTGAGGACAGATCTTTTCCTGCTGGCCTCCAGTTTTGTTTCTCAAAAATAAATTCAGTTGCATGCAAAGATCAAACTGAAATAACTAGAGCGGAGATAAGACCCATTGTTCGTATAAAACTCTTAAAAAACAGTTTAAAGCGTCTTTTTTCTCTGTTTGCGGTTATTGATTACTCCCCCGGGTCACTGTTACCTTTATTATGATTTGTAACCAGTGAAACTTGGCTCTAATTACCTCTGCTTACCATTATTCAGATGTGGAGTAATCAGTTCCTGGAAGGCCCCGTTGACACTTGCTGCCTTCTGACTTTTCTCTGGGAGGCAACACAGCAGACAGATTGGTGTATGAGAGGAGAGCTGATAGAGCAAAAAACTGTAAATCAACTCAGATGGCTTATTTTTGCTCATGAGGATTCCTAGGAAAAGATGCATGCTTTAACACACATTTCCTAGAAAAGATTTAAACGACTATTTCAGTGTGCCTTGTTTTCTTTTTTGGAAGTTGAGGCGATTTGCTCCATCTCCAAATCTAGGATTAGTTGTAAATGGTCATGTAGAGCACGTTAGGTTGGGGGGAATGGCTGGTCTTGTACTAAACTAGAGCACTTGTTCTGCATTGGCCACATTTCTGTCCATGCTATTTCTAGTTTTGTTCCACTTCAACCATTCCTGACTCGCACACGTGTTAGCTGGCTGATTCTGAATGACTCTTGGTTGACTGTCAGCCATAATTTTCCAAATTTCTTCACAGGAAAATCTGTTAATTATCTCCAGCAAGCCCTTTTGCAATAAACACCGAGGAACTGTTCAAACAAAGATGTTTGGCCGGCTTCACTCACATTAAGCTCCAAGCTTTTCCCATTTTTTTTATTTTTATTTTGACTGGTAATGTGTTGGCCTTATTAGTGCTGTTAGAAAAAAAAAGTTGCGTGAGCTGACAAAAAACATGCTGATGATTTCCCAATTTTACGCCTTTTAAAATATATATGCAGGCTGGAAATGGTTTAAATTTTATGTAAGGGTACACCTTGTTCTGTTGCCTCATTGCAGCTCCTTTTCTTTGTGTTTGTCTCGTGTTTCCAACAGTTAGTACTGAGGGACCACTATCTTGTCCCAAAGGCTGTGACCGATGCTCTGAGTACAATGGCTGCATTAAATGTAAGCCAAAGCTCTTTATCTTTCTGGAGCGCAATGACATCCGTCAGATAGGAGTGTGCCTCGCCTCCTGTCCCATGGGATACTTTGGCATGAGGAACCCAGAGGGCAATAACCGATGCACACGTGAGTTTTACCTTTATGTCACTAAAATGGGAATTGCAGTATGAATGTAAAATTTGTAAATGTGCATACGGCAACCTTCCAGATTTTCTACACTTCTGATGCTAAATGAAATCTGTCCAAAGCTTTCTTTGATTTTCTGTCTCCTTTTATGTGTAATTAGATGTAACACAGATTTATGTGTAGTGATTCTTGTCGAAATCATAAATAAATGATCAATATAATATTTATGAACATGTACTCAAGCAGTAAGGCTGTGAACCACTGAGACTTAGGAAAGGAAATAAAAAGAAAAAAACACGAGAAACATTTCGAGACAGACCATTAGTTGCAGTCCAGTAAGGTACTGGATTAACTCTTCTTTTTCTTCTTATTTTGTCTGTTTTGTTTCCAGCGATCACCTCAAAAAATCATCCTTCTCCATCTCACTCTGTTGAACTACCTCCATGTCCTCTCTAACTGCATCCATATATCTCCTCTTTGTCTTTTTCCTGGCAGCTGCATTTCTAACATCCTTCTACCAGTATACCCACTGTCCCTCCTCTGGACATGTCCAAACCATCTCAGTCTAGCCTCTAACTTTATCTCCCAGTTGTTCAACGTGTGCCGTACCTTTGATGGCCTCATTCCTAATCTTATCCATTCTTGTCACTCCTAAGGAGAACCTCAACATCTTCATTTCTGCCACTTCCAGTTCTTTCTCCTGTCTTTTTGTCAATACCACTGTCTCCAGACCATACAACATAGCTGGTCTCACCAATGTCTTGTAAACTTTTCCTTTGACCTTTGCTGACACTTTTTTGTCTCAAATCACTCCTGAAACTTTTCTCCATCCACTCCATCCTGCCTGGACTCTCTTTTTCACCTTTTTATCATGCTCCCCATTTCCCTGGACAGTGAACCCCAAGTACCCCAAGTTCTGGGGCGGCTGTGGCTGAGTGGTTAGAGCAGTCGTCCTCCAATGCAAGAGTTGGGGGTTTGAATCCACCAGCAGTCACATGCCAAAGTGTCTCTAGGCAAGACATTGGACCCCTCATTGCCTCCGATGTGTGTCCCATCGGTGTATGAATGTGATAAAGCTCTGATTAGTCTCTTTAGAATGAGTTGTTAAATTATCTTTGTAGAGATCTAGTATAGTGCTGTATGAATGAGTAAATGAGGACACAGATTGTAGTATAAAGAGCTTTGAGTGTCTTGAAAAGACAGAAAGGTGCTATTTTAGTACAGTCCATTTACTTGAAGTCCTGCACCTTTGTGACCTCTGCTCCTTGTAGCCTCAATATTCCACTGGCCTCCCTCTCATTCACACACATGTACTCTGTCTTACTACAGCTGCCTTTCATTCCTCTTCTTTCAAGTGCATACCTCCACTTCTCCAAGTTCTCTTTCACCTGTTCCCTGTTTTCACCACAGATCACAATGTCATCAGTAAAATAGAGCTAAAGGAACCAGTTCTTTATAGTGAGCTGAGCCGAATGATTCAAATCCTTGTGATTAATTGGATGTACATCATTAAAACATGGAAACAAAGCATTTATTAAATAGACAACATTACAAAACTATAGATTATTAGAGCAGGTGATTTGATAAAAACTGAGCAGTAGTTACTGAAAGAACAGTTGGTCTGATTAGAGATGAAAGATAGGCGTGCAGTGAGATGAAAGCAATGACAAATTCAATTTAATTCAATTCAGTTTATTTATATAGCGCCAAATCTCCAAAAAAGTTGTCTCAGGGCACTTTACAGGAACATTCACATACATAGAAAAGCCAATTAGTAAAGTTCTCTATCTATGGAAGACAGTAGACAAGTTGAATCTTCACTTCGTCACAGTCTCCCATCCTGAGCAAGCACATTGGCAACAGTGGAAAGGAAAAAACTCCCTTTTAAAAGGAAGAAACCTCCAGCAGAACCAGGCTCAGGACAAGCGGCCATCTGCTTTGACCGGCTGGGTTTGAGATGACAGAAAGGAGAGACAAACAAACACAGAATGACAGGTCCAGATGTAGGTGCAGGTGAACCTGAAAGGCAAAGACTCATGTTAAGGATAGAAAAAATAATTAAATACAAAACAGGTTGAGCAGAGAAAGTAAAGGCAGCAGCAGAGTGAAGAAATGTGGTCAGTTTGTCCTCCAGCAGTCTAAGCCTATAGCAGCATAACTACGGGACAGCTCAGGAAACCCAAGTCGACCCTAACTATAGGATTTATCAAAAAGAAAAGTCTTAAGCCCAGTCTTAAAACTGAACAATGTGTCAGCCTCATGGACAGAAACAGGAAGTTGGTTCCACAAGAGAGGAGCCTGATAACTGAAAGCTCTGCCTCCCATTCTGCTTTTGGAAGCTCTAGGAACCGCAAGTAAACCTGCAGTCTGAGAGGGAAGTGCTCTGTTAGGAAAATATGGAACAAGAAGATCTGTAATATAAGATGGAGCTAGGTTGTTGAGAGCTTTGTAGGTTAGAAGTAGGATTTTGAATTCAGTTCTGAATTTGACAGGGAGCCAATGGAGAGAAGCTAAAACTGGAGAGATATGATCTCTTCTACTAACTCCAGTTAAGACTCTGGCAGCAGCATTTTGGATCAACTAAATACTTTTTAAAGAACTATTTGGATACTCAGATAATAATAGTCCAGTTTAGTTGTGACAAATGCATGAAGCAGTTTTTCTGCATAATTTTTAGATACGATGTTTCTAATTTTAGTGATATTATGCAGGTGGAAGAAGGCAGTTCTAGTAACATTTTTAATATGAGGGATAAAAGACATGTCCTGATCAAAAATAACACCAAGATTTTTAACATTAGAACTGGAGGCCAGATTAATGCCATCCAAGGAGGGCAAAAGACTGAAAAAGTTTCAAATGAAATGACAGATGATGGATCTTATTAATGCAAAAGGAAAACGTAAGAGCATGTTAGTAACCCAAAATACTCAATATATAACAACATCCACCAAACAGGAGTTACTTCAAACTCAAAAAACTATCAGAAAGACCCTAATTTCATAACAAGCATTTCATATATTCAGATAAACACTATTGCTTATGAAATGTTTTTTTGCATTTTTGTTACATGATTACTGGTCATGCATCCAGTTGAAAACATTCTCATAAAAATCCAAACCAGCAATAACAGCAGGAATGTCAGCAGCATGTCTTGATGGTTTGAAGCAGGTTTGGATAATTTGGAAAAAGGGCAAAATAGTGGCAGCATTCACAGTTCTTAATAAAATACTTTTATATTTTGTTGTGGCAGTGGCTCTGTGCTTTTAGGTGAAGAGAGCCAGAAACTTGGTCTACTCTGTTTTCCATGGAATAAAGATTGGGCTGAAATCCCAGCAAAAGAATTTTTAACGAGTTGTTTGTTTTTTAAAGCTAAGTCTGTGTTGTTGTTTTTTTCATTTGGCTCTCGTCTGCACGGTTCATGTGAGGCAACACTGTTTGTTGTACGGTGCTTTTGATAGATGCTCTTTTGTGTCATTCACTGTCTTCATAAACTTGTAAAAAAGAAGATAAAATGTGTTTTTTACATATGCAAAAATCTGATATGATATCTTTACAATACAACAATTTCCTGCAGGATCAATAAAGTTCTATCTTATCTTATCTTATCTTATCTTATCTTATTTATCTTATCTTATCTTGTCTTATCTTATCTTACCTTATCTTATCTTATCTTATATTTAATACTTTCACCACATGTTTATTGATACGTACATACGATCCACATTGGCAACTATTTTTCCAAATATATTTATGGTTTTTGCTTCTATAAATGACAGCACACCACACTCCATCTTCTGAATAATATATAACTATTTTATAATGTTTAATTGAGAAACCCACAAATTATTATAAAACATGACTTTTAAAACAAGTTCATTTGCATTTGTAGTGGTTCTTAAAGCAGCACTGTTTAATTTTGTAACAAAAAGGGCTGAATTCCCCTTTAAATTCTTTTCAGAGGCCCACAGTGGCTAACCTGAGTTATTATCCAATCATCTGACTTTATGCATGTCATCTTTCAATGTCTAGTTAAAAACATTTGTTTTACATTTTGAGGCCACAATTTATTATTAGACCAACTGCAGAGTGGACATTTACCAGTGTAGCAAACAAGGATTTAGCAAGTCTGGATCTGACTATGTTCAGGAAAAGTACGAACACAAATGCACAGATTTCCATCTTTGCTTTTGTGAATCTTAAGAAATTGTTTTCATGAAAGCTGAGCTTGTAGGAGTTGTTTGTTAGCCTTTGCAGTTATCCAAATTTCTAAGCGTTTGTGTTTTCAATCTAAAACTTTTTTGTGTTTGAATCAGAAATTGTACTAAGAACCCCAAAAATGAGACTTTAACCTGAACTCATTAATGTTTTTCTGCTCTTTGTGCTTTTTTTCTTTCTTTCAGAGTGTAAAATAGACAATTGTGAAGCATGTTTCAATCGCAATTTTTGCACAAAATGTAAGGAGGGCTTATATTCACACAGCGGGCGATGTTATGTGAGCTGCCCTCCAGGCCAGCACACTGCCAATGAGACCATGGAGTGCGTTGGTGAGTGATCTTTATCTTTCAACTTTACACCAGCGTTAAGATTATTGGAGTTAATTCAATTCAATCCAGTTTATTATATGGCGCCAAGTCACAACAAAAGTCATCTCAGAGCATTGAACAGAAAATTTTCAGCTGCTTCAAAACTGTAGCCGGATAGTTTAGATCTTTTGACATTGGGCTTTCGTGGAAAGGTTAGGAAAAATAATATCTTGTCGTAGACAGACTTTTTGAATTACCTCCATTTGGAGAAATAAAGATCTTGTCAGTCTGGTCAAGATTAACAGTCACAGTGAACTGTTCTAGTCTTAAAACAACTCCAATCTCACAAGTTAGCTGTTCATGTGAATGCAACCCTGAAGGGGATCCCAGAAGTTGAAACAGGAATGGAAACAGCCTTTACATTTGCTCACCCCACTACAAGTTTCCAGTCCTGTCCCTTCCATGTAAACCAACAGGACTTTGCCAAGATTGAAAAGAAACAATAAAAAAAGAAAGAAAAAAAAAACACCCCAGATGTCAGATAATTTTTTCAAGAGTTGAATCTTGTTGATTCACATAGTTCTTGTCTTGCTGTTTGTTGTATGTGCGAATATTCATTTAGAAAGGTTGAAAGGTTTACCTGCAATTAGTTATTTCATGCTTAAAGAAAGCTCATGCCACACAGTGACTGGGTGAGGGAAAGTGGGCTTATCAGGAGTATTTGAAGTTGTTTTCAGATGAATAATTGTAAATTGTGATGTATAGTAGTCCCTCGATTATCACGGGCGTTACGTTCCACACACCCCCGCGATTAATGAAAAACCACAAAGTAGGAACGATATATTTATTTTAGTATTTATATATATTTTAAGGTTTTATAAACCCATCCCATACTTCTTGCAATGGTCTAAACTCTTAAACCTACATTATTTTAACAACATACATATATGTACTGTACAGTACTGCAAAATTTTGCTCACCAGCTCTGCAGACCAGCAGCTTGGTTCCAGTCTGGCTCGGTTCTGATTCGGCAGACCTACCCTGCAGCGACAAAGCCCACCGCCCTGTCCAATTTGATGTGTGCGTGGATAATTTACCTTCAGGAAGCTTCAATTCAATTTATTTATATAGCGCCAAGTCGCAACAGAAGTCATCTCAGGGCACTGAACAGAAACATTCATAAATATAAAAAAGAAAATTTAACATTATTTATCTGAGGAGCAAACTGCTTTGAGTTTAACTTCATCGCAGAACTCTCATCTTGAGCAAGTATGAAGGCAACAGTGGAAAGGAAAAACTCCCTCATGAGGAAGAAACCTTTAGCAGAACCAGGCCCAGGACAAGCAGCAGTCATCTGCTTCGACCGGCTGGGTTTGAGAGAAACAGGTAGGAGGAACAGATACACAATGGCAGGTGGAGAATCACATGTTAAGATATAAATAGTGTCAAATGAAAACTATTCAATTTTAAGAAATAATTTAAGGAAATTAGGTCAATTTGTCTTCCAGTAGTCTAAGCTTAAGGCAGCATAACAAGCCAACCCTAACTATAGGATTGATCAAAAAGGAAAGTCTTAAGCCCAGTCTTAAAACTGGACCATGTGTCAGCCTCATGGACAGAAACTGGAAGTTGGTTCCACAAGAGCGGAACATGATAACTGAAAGATCTTCCTCCCATTCTACTTTTGGAAACTCTAGGAACCATGAGTAAACCTGCAGTCTGAGAGTGAAATACTCTGTTAGGAAAACATGGAACAATAAGATCTGTAATGGAGCTAGGTTGTTAAGAGCTTTGTAGATTAGAAGTAAGATTTTGAATTCTATTCTGGATTTGACAGGGAGCCAATGGAGAGAAGCTAAAACTGGAGAGATATGATCTATTCAATTTTTCAGTTCAATTCAGTTTATTTATATAGCGCCAAATCACAACAAAGTTGTCTCAGGGCACTTTACAGGAATATTCACATACATAAAAGCCAATTAGTAAAGTTCTCTATCTATCTCTCCTACTAACTCCAATTAAGACTGTGGCAGCAGCATTTTGGATGAACTGAAGACGTTTTAAAAGAAGTATTTGGACATCCAGATAACAAACCATTGCAATAGTCCAGTCTAGACGTGACAAATGCATGAAGCAGTTTTTCTGCATCATTTTTAGATAAGACGTTTCTAATTTTAGCAATATTACGCAGGTGGAAGCAGGTGGTTCCAATAACATTTTTAATATGGGGGTTAAAAGACATGTCCTGATCAAAAATAACATGACGATTTTTAACATTAGAGTTGGAGCCCAGATTAATGCCATCCAAGAAGGGTGAAAGACTGAAAAATGTATTCCTAAGATGCTCAGGTCCAAAAACTAAAATCTCAGTCTTGTCTGTATTCAACAGCAGAAAATTTAGGGTCATTCAAATTTTTATGTCTTTAATACATGCTTATATTCTGAGTAACTGATTGGATTCATTGGGCTTCATGGAAAAATATAACTGTGTACCATCAGCATAACAATAAAAAATTATCCCATGCTGTTTAATAACATTACCTAATGGAAGCATACAAGTATAAGGTAAATAGTATTGGTCCAAGTACTGAACCCTGAGGAACTCTATGACTAACTTTGGTGTATGAAGAAGATTCATCATTTACAAACAGGAATCGAATACGTATATACAGTACTGCAAAGTTTTACTCACCAGCTTAATAGAACATCAGTTAGGTTCCAGTCGAGCTCAGTTCTGGTTCTGCAGACCTACCCTGCAGCGAGGAAGCCCACTGCCCTATTCAAGTTGATATGCATGTGGATAATTGAGCTTCAGGAAGCTTTAGGATTATTTGCTACTTTCCTGCCAGTTCTGTGTGCTTAATAGATAGCTTATATTTGCGTTGCAAAACTTTCCCTCCATTTCAGCAGAAAACAGTGGCTACTGTTGACTTCTGGGTAGTGTAGTTCTTTTAACTGGCCTTACGGTGTAGGCCTATTGAAAGAAAACTACAAAATGGCAACACCTGTCCAAAGTATTTTTTTCATTAACTTTTATCCTGTACCCTCCCAATCATGTAAGTAATATTAAAGTTGCTAATCATTGAAAAACTGCGAAAGAGCGAGTCCACGGAACTCCAAGCATGAAGTAGCGAGGGAATACTGTATATAAATTGTAATGCAAAGTGTGTAAATGTGTACAATCTTCAAATAAAAGGCTGGACTTAAAACTCCACCTCCAGTGCATAGACTCTGGTTCCAAAAATACAACAGCGCAGCTCCCATAAATCGGGTCCTGCATGCTTCAAGTCCCAACAATGAGAGAATGATGAGGACATTTAGGACTCCTGCCTGAAGTGCTACAACTAGCTGCTGCTGCCACTTGATGCTCTTGTAAATGGCTATAAAATTGTAAATAGATAATCATGTAAATTAACAGCAATTAAAGTTGTAAGATGTCAGCAGTCAACTTTGCTCTGTCTTGACTCTGCTTGGAGTAGCCTTAACTCGTCAATCCAATCAGAGTTAAACTGTTTTCCCAGTCTGAGGTCAGCTGTCTACTACAGGTAACACCTTGGTTCTTCATTACCTTTCCACCGAACCTCACTTTAAAAGATCTAACTGTTGATTTGACAGTGTAAAGCCTTTAAAGAGCCCCGCCTTTTGATATCTTCTGTTTTTGCTTCATCTGGACTCAGCTCATTCACATTTGTCAAGTTCACAGAAAACCTAATAGCAATACATTGTCAGTTCCTTAGCAACTGTACAAACCTGTTGTTATCCTGCTATAAATCTCTCAACAAATCACAAATTGTTTTCAGATGTGCAAACTGCCCGAACCCATTATCCTGAGTTAAACCTACTGAGGTGTGAAAGGCAGACAGAAACTATGAAGCAAATGCAAGACGTTAACCTCACAGACCATTCGCTCAGCAGCTAAGTCGTTCGCATATTTTTATTTTACTTTTCTTTTTTTCTTTTTTTGTCCCAGGTCAGCGTGCGTCGGAGTGTGAACTGGGAGAATGGAGCCAGTGGAGTTCCTGCATGAAGAAGAACAAAACATGCGAATTTAAGCGAGGCTCCCAGTCCCGAGTTCGTTTACCCCTTCCTCAGACTCACAGTGTGGACAGCTCCCCTTCCTTTGTGCTCGCGCAGACCTGTGTGCCAGAGACTGAAAGGAGGAAGTGCGTCGTGACCAAGAAGCCTTGTGTGAGAGGTAATAAACATCCAGGGAGTAGATTTACTAAATGACAACATTTAAGCAAGACGTATAATGAAAAAACACACGGTTAGGGCGTTGTAATCAGACGGTTGCAGATGAGCAAACATTAAGCTGTGTGTTTTATGAGTTTCCTCCAACACTGATATATAAGTGATGGACTCATTTAAAATCCCTCCCGTCTGTCTGTGACCTGCAGCGTGTTGATTGGCTTTGATTTGGCAGTGGAAACAAAAGAGCCTCTTGAAATTACCACATGTAAACAATAAGCTTCATCCACCAGCCAAAAGCAGATGAAGGGCGGACATTACGCGTCACAAAGCTGGCCCAGGATCAGAGCTATACGGCGAGCTATTAGTTTGGCAGGCAGACCGCTGAAGTGCGAGCTTTACATGGCCGTGCACAGCAGCTTACGCTCCAGCAGGTTGATAGTCAATCTCACCACTCAGCTGCCATTATCTACTTTAACAACAATTTATTAGTCGCCTTTGATCTCATTTGCTGCCGAGGCCGTTAGATGACAAATTTAGCAACGCAGTCCAGAGTGAGCTGAATGGGAAGTGCAACAAAAACCGTAACATTCTTGCTTGTTTGCTTTGAAATTTTGGATGTTTAGTGGTCAAGCAAAGAAATAAATCTTTATCACCAATGGTGTGTTGATAATTGACAAAGTGGGAGTAGGTCTCTTGAACTGGGTAAGGATTATTGCAAATTAGGAGATAATAGCAAATTACTTTGTCTCTAAATGCCCCCATATGTCAATCTTCTTTGCACAATGCACTAATTTAAAGGAAAAGCTTCAGCTGCAAAGGCATTTACAAGGGTTAGGAGAACTTTAAACATAAAGCATTTAAAGGCTTTATTGGATGGTGGCACGCTTAGGGGATTTTGGCCACAGCAGCAGCAGCAGCATTGGCAAACAGCAGTTGCACAGTGTTGGCAGCGGTGCAGATGTTTCAACACGTAACAGATGATTTTCTCTGATATACTGTATGTGAGTAAACATGCTGGAGGTTTGCATATTGTGTTACCATTCTCTAAACTTGGAAAGTTCCTTTAGGGTTCTGGATCTAAACAACAGAACATGAGCTGATGTTGTCCTGTATGGGCCTGCGGTCGCGTCGGAGGGAACGGAAGGTTGTAAATGTTCGGGGAGGACTGGGCTCCTTGTTGGACAGGCTTTAACAGCAGAGCATGAGAAATGAAAGGCAAATTTACTCGTTCGTCCTGGAAAAACTGTCAGCCCTGGGTTCAAACATATAATTAACAGTGAAATATTATAAACTGGCTTTTCTAAACTGTGCAAATGGAGCTCATATCTAAAAAATTAAGGATGATATGTGCGGTTTCGTGTGACAAGTGATGAGTCATACGAGTTTTGCGGACAACGTAATAGTTCACTGGTGATGTTAAGGAGCTTTTTCTCCTATTTTGTGCTCAACATATATGAACAGGAATGAACTTTCATTTGTGAAGTAGTTCATAGGTGATGCTACGATGATTCAAGTTCTTGTGGGTAAAAGAGCACAGCTGTGGATCCATATGTGGGAGCTGACTGGCAGGCAGGTTGTAGAAAGCACGAGGGGGCAGATCCTGTATAACATTAGTGATTTAGTGGTCTGCAGATCTCACGCTTTGTGTCGATTTGGCTGCGACTCATTTCCCTTCCACTTTTTTTTTCCTTCTTTTCTAAAGCGCTACAAAAAAGTCTCACACGAAGAAAATTGTCTGGATGTGTCACTGCATTTGTCAAGCGAAGCTGTTTAGTTTGGATGGAGAGGAGGTGCAATCAGTGCTGTCATAAACTGATGGGGTCCCCCTCTTTTGGCTCCATTAGTGATTTGTTAGAGGAGTAATTAAGTCCTTACACAGCGAGCACGCTTTCTCACTTTCTGAAATGTTTTTTAGGACTCTTTAAACAAGCTTAAACCTCCATAACTGATTTTAATTTCAACTATTCGTGCTCAGCATTAACTGTATATTTAAATACCTACCATACATGCTCAGTGTATTAATAAAGGCTTTACTGAGGAACAAACTGGGCAGAATTTTATTAGAAAACTTATTTTTTTAACTATTGAATATTCATATATATATCAATTCAATTCAGTTTATTTGTATAGCGCTAAGTCGCAACAGAAGTCATCTCAGGGCACTGAACAGAAACATTCTTATACATAAAAATAATTTAACATTATTTATCTGAGGAGCAGACTGCTTTGAATTTAACTTCATTGCAGAACTCTCATCTTGAGCAACAATGAAGACAACAGTGGAAAGGAAAAACTCTCTCATGAGGAAGAAACCTTTGGCAGAACCAGGCTCAGGACAAGCGTCCATCTTCTTCGACCAGCTGGGTTTGAGAGGAACAGATACACAATGGCAGGTTAAGGTTCACGTTAAGATAGAAATACTATCAAATGAAAACTATACAATTTTAACAATTAATTTAAGGACATCAGGTCAATTCGTCTTGTGGTAGTCGAAGCCTATGGCAGCATAACAAACCAACCCTAACTATAGGATTTATCAAAAAGGAAAGTCTTAAAACTGGACAATGTGTCAGCCTCACGGACATAAACTGGAAGTTGGTTCCACAGGAGAGGAGCTTGATAACTGAAAGATCTTCATCCCTTTCTGCTTTTGGAAACTCTAGGAACCACAAGTAAGCCTGCAGTCTGAGAGCAAAGTGCTCTGTTAGGAAAATATGGAACAATAAGATCTCAAATACAAGATGGAGCTAGGGTGTTGAGAGCTTTGTAGGTTAGAAGATTTTGAAATCAATTCTGGATTTGACATTGTATCTTGTACAATACTTTGCTTTCAGGTCTCTCTTGTAAATGAGCCCTCGAGGCTCAATGGGATTTACCTGTTTAAATAAAGGTTGAATGAAAAAATGTAACTACTCGTTTTTATTTTAGAGTAAACCAAGTGTGACCTTGTCAGCAAAAGTAAATGTTGCTCTGCTGTCTCACCGCATGGCTGGCATTGTGGCAGAGATGTATTTATTGATCTCTAAGTAATATTAAGTGCCCATATTTGGACCTCTTTGCTCAGTTTTGACCTTTGCAACAATGTGAATGTTAGTGACAAATTGATACAGTGACAGTAGACAGAACAACATCACAGTCTTTAGCTTTTGGCATGTGTTCACACAACTTGCAGGTATTCTTGTTCATGTTCTTAGAACATCTCACTTCTAAATGACCCTTTTTTTTTAACACAGAAGGAAACGAACAAAGTAGTCCTTAAAGAAATACAGTAGTCCCTCACTACTTCATGGTTCAGTTATCTCAGACTCGCTCTACCGTGGTTTTTCAATATAAGATTGGACATGACACTCAATTGGCTGATTGATGGATGAACGGCACGATCATCATGGAATTTGTATTTAAAATAAATTATTTTAAATTATTTAGCACCTGGGCAGCACGGTGGCGCAACTGGTAGAGCTGCTGCCTCTCAGTGAGCAGGTCCCTGATTCAAACCCCGGTCCAGGGGCCTTTCTGGGTGGAGTTTGCATGTTCTCTCAGTGCATGCGTGGGTTTTCTCCGGGTACTCCGGTTTCCTCCCACAGACCAAAAACATGCATGTTAGGCTGATTGGTAACTCTAAATGGTCCCTAGGTGTGAGTGAGAGAGTGAATGTTTGTTTGTCTCGTGTGTCTCTATGTGTCCCTGTGATGGACTTGCGACCCGTCCAGGGTGTACCCCGCCCCTCGCACAGTGATTGCACCAGGGATGGGCACCAGCGACCCCCGTGACCCAAAAATGGAATAAACGGGTAAAGATAAAGGATGGATGGATGGATATTTAGCACCTGTTGCCCCTTTGTGCAGCCCAGAGCTGCAGAAAAAGCTTCCTACTGCACCTTTGTGCAGCTCCTACTGCAGGATAAACTTTATGCTGCAGCTGATCAGCTGTTCACCGTGCAGCACAGAGAAGTGGGCGTGGCCAAGAACGCTTGCAGATGGCAAAGAGCAGGAGGCAGGGAGCTGAAATCATGACATTCTGTGTGCTCTTTTAGAATGTTTAGAGTTTAGAAACATTGTTTAGAATATTGCAAGA